GGTGATTCAATGTCTTCTTAACTCCAAGATGCCTTCTTGTTAAACTATCATGGGATTGACGCAGCACAACTTTCCGTAACTTTCTTGGCATAACTGTTTGCAAGGTCGTCACTTCCCACCCGCAGTTTCCCATCTCTGGAAAAGAATACCATCTTCAAGCTTCAACTGGTCCCATTGTGCCAAATAGTTCTTTGTCACAGGGCTTAAGCTAGACACCTTCTCCCAAGCAGGGTGCAAAACACTTGCTTGTAGAAAATCAATTATTGGCTTTCTTGGTCTTTCTCCTGTTCTGCTTTACATGGTTCCACTTCACCATCATCAACTCCTTCAGTCACTTCGACTTCATCTTGATGGCACCTGGTTAGCTCAACCTCTTTTTTGCAGCAATGTTTGCAGTCATGTTTGCAGGGTATTTGGCTCAGTCTATCGACACTTCCATGAGATTTCACAGATGCAGCAACACTTACCGGAATTTGGCCTTTGTTGTTCCCAAATGTCATTTTATCAAAGTTAACTACATACTTCCTCGGTAGTAAGTAGTTCAACCCTAATATGCATGGGTATTCAATGTCAGCCAAGTATACTTTGTGCCTGTCCTTTATGCTCATGAGCCCAATAGTTACCCACACTGGTCCCCACAGCCTTGAAGAATGTCCTGTCACACCACAGAGCTTCTGTATGGCTTCTGGTATTCCTTTGTGATCTCGCATCTTGATACTCACATGGGTTTGCTGAGATGCAGAATCTATGACAAAGGTGCACTTTTGGCCATCCAGCTTTCCTGTCACGTAAACACTATGTGTGCTTGCCATTTTACATTTAGCTGTTGGGACTTTCATGATGAGGGTTGGTGGGCATCCCTCAACACCAACCACTATTGGTTTCCCCAAGGCTGACTTATTGGTAGTATTCTTTTTACACTGGTTCCCCATGTCCTTGTTCTCCACAGTTCGAACAACCTATCTGGGTAGCAGCCTTTCCTGCCGTGGCATCTTTCCTGTGTTGAAGTTGCCGACATTAAGCTCTCTTGTGCCCAGGTTTGTTACAGTGCCAGCAAAGTCCCTCATACCTCTCTGAAAGCTGCCCTTGAATCCTGATGAATGTACCAACCTTGGTACTTCTGTGCTAGATTTAACGTAGGATTCGAATTCAAGAGCTCTGGCCATTGCATCGAGCATAGTAGAGGGTCGTTCTTGCTTTACTTGTATATTCAGTTGTGAACTGATCCCTCGGCAACAGCTTAAGGACACCGGGTGGTGCAGTTGGGTAGACCTTGTGTGCCATATTTTCCAAATCTTGTGCCAGCTCTCCCCTTTAGCTCCTAAACCTAGTTCTGTAGACTCTTCCATACCTGAGTTCTAGAGTAGCTACCAGTGCTCTATAGTTGTGCCTGTCGTCTCGTGACAACTGTCCAAGTATTTCCAGTGGTTGTCCCTTCAAGCTCATTGCCAGGTACACTGCTTTCTGCTCCTCTGTCCATCCATTCATTTCTGCCAGGAGCTCAAATTGTGCTCTATATGCTTCCCATAGAATTCCTGTGGCTTCCTTTCTACTAGATTACCCCTATTGCTGACACTCATGTCTGGAATGTGACTTCTGATGGGGCTGAAGACGTTTGCATTAGGGTTTAGCTGCGGGATCTGGAAAAGGCTTCCCATTGTCTGGGGCTGATTAGGTCCATTGCTAATATGTCATCCTTGTGTAAAAGACAGTAAATCATCCTTTAATGTATTTAATTCACTTTGAAATTTATTAATATTTTCCATTTGCGTGAGCTGGCTTTCTCTCTACTGTTGGAGTCTTTCTTCCTGTTTATTTTCTTGTTCCAGTTGCCACTGGTGCTGGTTTTCCTGCCACTGCTGTAGTCTCTCTTCTTGTTTATTTTCTTTCTCATCCAACCAGTGCTGTAGCCTCTCTGCTTGTTTCTTTTCTTTCTCCTCCAACCACTGCTGTAGTCTCGCTCGTTTATTTTTTCGTTCTTCTTGTTTCTTTTCTTTTTCCTCCAACAACTGCTGTAATCTCTCTTCTTGTTTATTTTGCTGTTCGAGCTGCCACTGCTGTAGTCTCTCTTCTAGTTTATTTTGCTGTTCTTGTATTGCTGCCATCAAATCTGCTAGGCTGTAGTTTGATTTGCCACCTCTCAATTCCATCTTCTTCTTCCTTTTCCACCCCACTTCTGACACCCATTTGTTGCGTATCTGCTTGTTTGTTAATTTCCCGTATAAATTATTTCCGAGAAACTTCAGCAATACAAGTCCTTTCTTAATTAAAACTAGTTTATTCTTTTTCGATACAACTTTGCAATACACAGAATTTCCACAGT